TATTGTATGCTAAGTAAATAAGTGCAGTGCAGCATTTTGTTTATTTAAAAATTTTTGAAAATCAATTTACAATTTTTTTTCGGTCGATGTTGATCTTCTTTATTTTTGATGTGGTTAGCCAGGCAACAGGCAGCAGTGGTATGTAAACAAATGAAAGTTTCTCGCGGCTGCCAACAACAGATGCGAATATTTCCCCTTTCTCCTCTATCTCTCTCTCTGTTTGAATGTATGTTTTTGTGTTAAAAAGCGCAAGCGTTTTTCATAAAAACGCTGGTATATGGATTTAATTTTTTTCTTGTGCTATACCAATCAAAGAGGTGAAAAAAATTGGATATTAAAGGAAGACTCATTTATCAGGAAAAAAATATTGACTTTTTTTGTTTCAATGATTGAATAATAAATACGAAATTTAATTTAAACTTTACCGCTTTATACATGTCGAAAGAGTATTTTGTAGTTGATCAGTAGCTTGTCTAAGCACTTATGTACCAGTCATTCACGTTGGCAGCGTCAAAATCATGCGCCATTAATGTCAGAAGTGTAATTGTTTTTCAATCGGTTTGATAACACACAAAAAATGTCACGCATTTCACAAAATTTTATTTCGAGTGCGTATTAAAATCACTCGAAAGTGTCGAGTGCTTTAAAATGACCCAAAACAACAAATGCGGTTTCTGCTTGATTTAAGTATGTGTGTGAATGAGAATGTGGTGCACAAGGCATCAAATTTAAGCTGTCTACTTGTAAACATAATGCCCACAGGCAAAATGCCGATGAAGTAACGCACATAAGTAATGCCACAAAGGAATAAAAATGTGTGCCAATATTCTAACCAAAAGACACTTAAGCACGTACTCTTAAAAGATCTGAGAAGCCAATGTAATGCGCCTGAACAAAACTTTTAGCAAAAAAAAAAACGAAAGGGCATAAATATTTATGTCTTTGTTTTTGGCTCTGCGTTTTTCTTTTCTTTTTTTTTTTTTGTTGTGTTAAATAAAGTGAACTCAGCGAAAATCAAAACAAAGTTTCATTCAGAAATCAAAGAATTGATAATATTTTGTTACCCATTCGGCTAAAGTCAAAATGAGTAATCAGCTGATAACAATTCTTATTACGATAAGCCAAATACTTGAGATTATAACGCTGAAGTCATAGCAGTTATAATCTTAACAAATAGACATAAATCAGTTGAGTCAAGTGCTTAAATTAAAGGTTAACTCATGTGTGATTTTCACTTTTGAAATACCTGAAAATTCACACTACAAAATATGCTGTAAGCTTTATCTTATCTCATAATGCTTTAAGCCTATATTATAAAGGACTTTTTTTATATCCCCTTGCCAATCAAATAACAATTTACCCCAATGCACCATAAGAATACTATTGCAATAACATTTAAAATGCAATTTAATAACTGAAATTGAATAAGCCGTTTTATTTGATTTGCTGCTGCTCATGGAAACCGTTAAGATCAAATTGAGCTCTCCTCTTTGACTGCATCTTAAAAGTGACTGCATTTGCATATCATCACAGATATCTATACTACACAAGAGTACACTTCACAATGCAGTCAGTCAAATAGATATATAAACCGCCTCGGGCTTGGTTTTAATAAGCAGTCAGTCACAGTCCTGTGTAACCCGTAGATGTTAAGTGGAGCAGCGGATTGCAGGGAAAACCATTTGAAAACGTGCCAGAAGCACCACATTGTAAGATTTGAAAACACAAAATAAAAGCACTAAAAAAAAATCCAGAGGAAAAAGGCAGTCAGAAACTAAAGACAGAGGGAGAGGTAAAGCAACTCAAGTCGAGGCAACTTCTGAAGGTTATAAAATAATAATGAAGACAATTTCAATGCTCTGCACCTCCCGTTTGTTGATATTTGTTGTACAAGTTATGTTGTTATTGCCATTAGGGTTGTTCGCATTGTTGTTATTAGTGCGGTTGTCCCTGCTGCGTATAGCAAGGGGCAGCAGCAAGCACACAGCCAGAGAAGCGGCTAAATAAACATAAGACGCGCGTCACGTCACATCATTTCCTGCAGCCATTTTATGTTTTGCCTTTGATTTTGCTTGCTTGCTTCAGTTCAGTTCTGTTCTGTTTGCTGCTTCTGATTATGTTGCCCTGTTTAAATTCTTCAAATTCAAATGTTTGTTGTTTTTACTTTTTATGGCAATTAGACGTTGATTTTTAATATCATTGTTGCTATTGTTGTTACTTTACCGCAATAATGCACATAACAATAATAATAACACACATACGCCCTGTGGTATTTAATGGCCAACGTGTGCAATTCATTAAAGGCAACAATGTAAACATCGTTAATATTAAAGTGGAAAAATACCAAATACAGAGTCATGTGAGTATCACAAGGCATGTGAGTATACTTCTGACTGTGGTTAAATTGAAGACAAATGCCAACAGAAACAAATTAATACTTGAGCTCAATTGAGCTACAGTTTGTCCCTATTATTAAATATAATACTTATGGTATTCAAATAATAACATTTCGTAGAAATATATATAAGTGTAGTTAAATTCTCCTACTAATGTTAAATCTCTGTTAACCTTCAACTAAACTAATTTAGTTGGGATTTCTTGGCATTTATCCCAATTAAATGCCAATTCTTTTAATTGCTTCTTTTTTTTGTCCGACTTGTTAACGAAAATGCATTTAATTAGCATATTTATTTTGGCCATTTCGCTTCTTTTATTCACGAATTCAGATTCACCTAACATTTAACCGAAATACGCTATCCTCTACTGCCATTTGGCAGTCAGTTCAAAAATCAATTAGAAGCGGAACATGAATTTAATCGCACTCGAATTCCTTTTAGCCATGTTAATAAAGAGCAGAAAACGCTTTGCGTGGATGCTCGGCGCTAATTGGACATCGAGTGGATTACTTAGCGTAGCTCATTTACCCATTCTGAAGGACCAAATTGGCAAAATCTCGAGCTCAGAGCAGTGAGTGCCCAAGCCCGGTGTCTGTCGAACGAGTACATGCATATCCATTATCATCCGCTTGAGTTTTCCATGCACATAACAAGAATGACTAGGAGAGAAGAAAGGATGAGAATATAAACATGAACTTGTGCCAGTTTTGCAATTTTGCTGTTGGTGGGCTTCCTTACGCTTGATTTCTTGTGAACTGGCACACACCCGCACACACACACACACACATACAGTTAGAAGTTACATTAAAAGAGCGCTTAGTTTATGCTTCGTTAGTCAGCTTGGACGATGGACAAGGCTTCGTCCTGGCGTCAAAATGCCTCCTCTGAAAGCCTAAGAGCCTAAGAGCATGAACAGTCATGTGAATGCTTCGGCGCGCCATCAACGAACAATGGAACTATAGGGGCCACGAAGTGGGGTGGCAAGAGGCAGACTGGGCTAAGGTTGCAGAGTACCTTATATATACAGGAAGGCAGGCTGGCGGGTAGGCGGGACAGGCGACGGGCAAACAAGCGGGCTGCCGGCGACAGGATGCGGTCACAGGAAGTGAATGGCTTGTCTACGGTGCTACTGCTGCAGTCGACTGACCAGCAACAACCGTCTGACTGACAGACACCTTTGTAAACAGCCACAGGACGCACAAACACACAAATACAAAAACACACACACACATATATCCATAAGGAATGATGGTTTAGTGTAAACAAACCTCAAACGTATAATGAACTTAGAGAGCCTTGCAGAAAATCCAGTATCAGGAATCTTAGCTCGCTGGACTTGTTGAAACGCCGTTTACCCAAAAAACCGAGCGAAAGATTTTAAACTTTCACATTCAGTTTTATGCAGTAGCGCCACATACTGTAAGCCATTTAAATGCGGTCCCAGTTCCGGCATCTTCTTCCTACCCTGTCAGTCCGGCTGTCGTCTATTTGTGTTGGAGAAACCGCAACCGCTTGAAAATCGACAGCACTCGCTTCGGTTTGAATAATTGACCAAAAAATCGACGTCTGACCACAGCAAAGCAACAGCAGCTAAAGGGCAACAAAGCAACCACTATACGGGAGTTGGAGTTGTCGACTTGAGAGATTGAGCGACTGAGGAGTATCCTGTAGTTATCATATCAGGTGTCACATATTATGCAAACTGGGAAATCGCACTGTTGAACTCATATCTGCTTTTTAAATAAATATATATGTAAGTACTTAATTATTATTAATTATATAAATACACTGTTTTTATTTTTTCTTTTAAAAATATGAAAATAAATTTTAATTGATCAACTTAATTTCATAATTGAGTTGATTTGTGAACCTATTTAATATAATGAATTGTGCAAATCCGCTCGTCAGTTAATGTCTATCATAATTTTTAACGGATATTGCTACCTATATTCATCCAGTCAACGGATGGAAAGTGTGCTAACAAATGAATAAACAAATTTATGAAGCGCAACCACAAGGGTTTAAGCACTCTCCAATCCACTGTTGTGACTTTGATTTAAATTCAGCCCAGTGTTTAGCTCTTCCCGTCGCTGGTGAAAGACAAAAATGTTGTTTGCATAAATCATTGGCCGAGGATTGATTATGACAAAGAATGAAAAGGCCGGCTGGCGATTTCAAATCCCTTGCACGTAGCTCATTTATTTATGTATTTTTTCATGCCACAAAGGTTACCAAATCTAGTTGCCACACCCATCAAGCGAAATCTACCCCTCCCCCTCCCCGCATGTATATACAAATGACAGCACATTAGCCGCTGCGGATGTTGGCCTTTTCATGGCTGACTGCACGCCCACTTGGCCGACAGGCAAAAGAAATAATATGAATGAGGCGCAAAAATGGAACCCCTGAGAACGACTGGCTAGCACTCAGCGCACAAATGTCAATAAATTCATATGAAGTTATCTCTTCCAGACAGCTTAACGTGCATTTTTATGTCCTATCCTAGAGTCCAATTTCAACTATGTTGAATTCTTGGGAATTTCCTCAATAGGTGCACACAGCATATAAGTAACAAAAAATTCATAACCAATTTCGTACACTTACCATAAGTTACTGGAGTGGCTTTCAACTTGAGTGGATTTTTACAGACTGCAAAAAATGTAAAGAAATATTAAATTGATTTTCAATATTAAAGTTATACATTTATTAAATACACTTTTTTAAAGACTTTAATCTTTAAGCAGATAGTACAAATTCAACTCAGCTTTAAAATACCACGGGAAATGAAAAGCAGAATTTGGTGAAGTCCCTTGAAGACTGCACTTTTGGTTGTGTAAGAACTATAAAATTTAAATCTATAAAATCTAAACTAGCAGTTAAGGCTTTGTGGCAAGGTCACAGCAAAAATTCTTTTGATTTTATCTGGAGCGGACTTTTTGGGGGCGTGGACCAAGTGGTTACTATGAGAACGACACAAATAAAGTCGCATATGTTGACTGCTGACAGCATTTGATGAACCTAATAAACTCTGAGCGAAGTGCCACTCTCAGCTCTCAGCTCTCTGCTCAACTGCCAGCCAACGCCAATGCCGAAAATGTTAAATAAAATTGAAGCACCAAACAGACATTTGTGGCCCACAGCCGTTGCCATTGCCATTGCCGTTGACGTTGCCAGCAATTCAAAAATATCTTTTATTGAATCTCGGTAACCCAAAAGTCGAAAGCAAGAAACGCGCAACGAGTAACTCGTCACTCGTAATTCAGGACTATAGGGACTAGGGTATTGGGACTTGAGGCTAAGAAGGGTGGAGCACCGCATAAAAAAGATTAGCAGAGGCCTCAGTAATGTGTCAAAGTGTGGGTGTGTATGTATGTAAAGCGTGCTCAGAGTGACAGCTGTCAATGACATTGAGCCACAGTCCATTTGCAGCAAATGACAGCACACATATACATGTATTTGTAAATGGATTTTTCTGCAAATATAAATACACACTCATGCTCTTCAAGAACTTAACTCCCTGGCATGCCTGCACATCAGCAAGTTTTTCTACCACTTGCAGTGTACAATCTGCAATGCAGTTACGTCACACACACACACACACACACACTTACCGCCACTTACTACCCCATAACGTATTTCGGCTGTAGAATTATTTATAGTTTTTTTACGTCATTGCATACGTGATTTTGCATAAGTTGCTCGTGGACGAACTCCCCCTCGCCCCATCTGTTCCAGTCCATCCTCCCAAAAAGTGCAAAATAAATGGGTTTGTGTGGCAAGTGGGGGAAGAGGATGCAGCTAACACTGCAACGTTGATTTTCAATAATTGATGCAACAGCCAAATGCGAGCAGATAAAATCGCTTGAACAAATCTTTTTATATTACGAATACGAATAAAGAATAACAATTCGAGAACCTATTTTTTTACGAACAGCCGTGATAAGCCATAGAGTTAAGATAAATAAATATATGCAAACATTGACGAAAAACTAAATGAATTAAAGAAAAATATTGAAAGTATAGGCTCAAACATTTAATGGAACTTTATGGGAACAAGGTGTTAACTCGATTTTCAATTACACATATACCCTCGAAATGTAATAGGTTAATTAGCTTATTCCTTACACAACGTCGATATAATAAATGATTTTCATAATGTATATATACTAAGCAATAAAATTCAATCTGAATATTATAATCGTTTTACACATTCACTTTTAGAAAATAAGTTTTGTGCCGAATGCTTAAACCAATAATATTTATTTTTAAGTACATTTGTGTAAAAGGTTGTCAATCTCTTTTAAAATAATGCTTACAGAACTTAAGCTTATACCTATATTTTGTATTTTTAAGTACATTTGATAATAATCCTGTTTTCGATGCATGGTGTGCGTTTTACACATTCTCTTTCCGAAAATTAGTTTTGCGCCGAATTTTTATACCTAAATTATTTATTTTTAAGTACATTTGAGTAAAAGGTTGTCAATCTCTTTTAAAATATTCAATGAATTCAGTACATATATGTTTAACAGGCATTGTTTGTGTAATATTTACATGGCATTTGGGTTTATAACTCTGACTTTGTTGGGTTATAGCCCAGTTATTTCTGTTATTTGCTGCGCAAATTGAATAATGTATGGAAGTCCTAATCGCATTGTACGCATTCCAGGAACACACTCAACACTTGGCAACCATTCAGACGCTTACTGCCCAGAGCACACTCTCTCACGCGCCCACAGCCATACACTTTTTATAAACACATAAATTCTTGAGTAAATGTACTGTTAAGCCGTATTTTTTACCACACCCAGAGACAAAGTGTGAATGGAATTGCGGCCTGCGGTTTAAAAGCAGCATAGACCAAAACATGCGAGACTTTGGGAATGAGAATGAGGATAGTAGGTGGATATACCTGTATCTACAACTATTGAAAAAACATTAATGCAAACATTATATTACTTTAAATGGATACAGCGTAAAGGTGGCAGAGGGACAGGTGTAGGAAAAGCAGCAAACAGCAGATATCTGGCAAATTTTGCAAATAAAAGATAATGAATTTACCGGCAGAGCTGGTCAATGCTTTCACTAATAAATAGCAGACAGACACGCAGCACCCCAGCACCGCACAGAATATCGATTACAGGACACGGGACACGGCCAGCAGCAGAATACAAAGATACCAGCAGCTACAGAAGCAGCAGCAGCAGCAGCAGCAGTTCCTGTTCCTGCTCCAAACCAAAATTACCAACAACTTGAGCCATAAAATTTGAAGCGATTGTCGTAAAAAATAAGGCAAACTTGAGGTAGGCATGAGCATCCTACATATAATATCAGCACTCAGCAGGCAGCCCAAATACGACAGACAAGCCCGGCAGGAGAGCGAGGCATCTACTACTGATGCTGCCTCTTAGCTGGGTGCCACTTAGCACCACCGGCACACAGCTGCAACAGCAACGGCAGCAGCAGCCGACACAGCTTCACGTTCTGTGCAAAAATTTCACTTTGGGGGGAAGCAGTTTTTTTTGTTTTTTTTTTTAAGTTTTTCTGTAACTAGTACCAGCACATGTGAACCTCTTAAAACGCCCACCAGATGTGGCAGCTACATGGGGTAACTGCTATTAGACTACACTATGTGGCATTTATATTTCGTGCTCGCGCTGCACAGTTGCCTAATTTGCAAACCTAACTGTCGACCATATAACGGCGCCAAGTTGCTGCTGTCAAATCTGCAGAGGACAAACTGTGCGAAACTCATTTTCAAAACCAGCGAACATTTTCCAGTCACGAATGTTCGACACAGATATTCCCTGTAATTAAGTCCATTTTGTGATAATGAGATTTTTTTAGTATATTCAAATAGAAGGGCTGCTATCAATATTTGAATATATACGAGTTTTTAGTTGGTTTACTAAATTTTTATTATATTTTGCTACAGTTAAGAGCTGAGCTGTAAAACAATAGTTATTTCTAGATAGCCTCAGGATACTAATCAAAAGTACAAACATAAAAGAATTAACAACCTTAGATTTTCCTATGTTTACAATTTCTCTAGCTAATTCACTTACATTTAGGTACAAGAAAAATTTAGCAAAGGAGCTATAAATCTTTTATTATTAATAATGGATGATAATGGTATCTCTAACACAATAAAATGTTTAGTTTCACATTTCATAATTGAAAACCAATTCCCATAGGTAGTTAAATTTGCACATTTTGTGGCTTTGTCTTTGGAGTTTCGACAAGAGTTGTGCATAACACAAAGCAGATGCCAAACAGCTAACTGTTCAAACAACTAACTACATAAACACACCAAGAGACTCACACAGCCAGAGACACACTGCCCCCGCTCGCCCGCAGCTTTGACGCGCATACGCTTAGTGCTTGGTCTTAACCCGAGGATATGAAATCTTGTAGCCGACATTTATGTGTGTCTTACTACAGCTATGGCTATGACTATGGCTGCCAAGTATTAGTGTCCTCGCCAAGGACAAGGACCCAACTGGGTATGCTACCCCCTCCCCCTCCCCCTCATAGACCCGCACACTGAATATACGTGCAAATTCTCTTGGATACAGCTGCTCTGTGCGTGTGTCTGTATGTGTGTGTGTGTTTGTGTGTGCTTCTGTGTTGACATTGATTGCGTGTGCGTGTGTTTGACAGTTCTTTCAACGACTTTAATACTCGTAATAGTGTGATTTTAATTGAATAATATGCAATCGTGATATCCCCAAACTGTCTGCATATCCGACACTTCCCTCGTCCTTCCTTAATTCCTGATCCTTTTATTGTCCCCCTCTGGACAGACATGCATGCACTTGTTCGGCAGCATTAGCTGCACTTTATTCAATTTGTGCACATGACATTCTCGTGTTTGTTTTGATTTCCCATTACTCTTCCCTTTTTAAATGTCCTGGTGACAGGATTTAGTAGCATTATAATTGTCAATGGTCTATTAGGGCGCCTTTGCCGAGAAGTCTAATAAGAAATGCCGCCTGTGGTTACGTCAATCACTTGAGTTGACCAACAGCAGCTGTGTCTCTGGAGATGATAACGTGACAGCACGACATAAAATAAATTGAAATATTGTCGGAAAAGATATAAAAAATAAATATAAAAGTAAAATAATAAAAACATTGGCTTGAAATTTAGAAATGTGGCCAACAGAAGCTTCTTAAATAAAAATAGTTAATAGTTAAATAAATAAATTTATATTCGAGTTTCAGAATTTAAGTAATTCCAGAAATTAAGTGCTCCTGGGAGATTTTCATTTTATATTCATTCATTTTGTTTGTTCTTGTATCTTATTGATTTATTTATATCTTTAAAATATAAAATGTAAAACATAATACAATTGGGGCCTATATATTTCGTGAAATTGTTTTATCCTTTTCATAAAGAGCAAACAAATGCAAAGCTGTTGTTGCTTATATCGTTATTTTTGATGATTTATCTTCGGGAGCAAATCACGCATCCATTTCTATTTCCTGCTGTTGGCTGGCTTTCCAACTCCCCCTCTCTCTCTCTCTCTCTCTCTCTCTCTCTTTCTCGCTCTCTCTCTCTGTGTGAGTTCTGTTTATGATGGTCGTTCCAATTATTATGAATTTGTGCGGTGAAATGTTTTGGGGCCTGCCTGTGTGGGGTCTGTCCAC